TCATTTTCTGAAGAAGGGTCCAGACCTGAAATGTCAGCTTTCCTGCTTATCTGATGCTGCTTGGCCTGCTGTGTTCATCCAGCTCTACACCTTGTTATCTCAGATTCTCCAGCATCTGCAGTTCCTACTATCACTGGAATATGGTGTCCAGTTCTGGTTACCGTACTCGGGATGTGATTTCACTGGAGAGGGTCTGGAAGAGATTCAGAAAATGTTCTGAAGGACGTAGACCGAAAAGATGGGTAAATAACCAGGGGGCACGGTTTTAAGTTTACAGGGGATGTGAGGAAAGTTTTTTTTTCACCCAGAGCATGGTGGGTGTTTTTAAACTTAGTGCCTAAAAGGCTGGTAGAACAGGAACATTCAAAACATGTAAGTATTTAGATAAGCACTTGAAACGCCATAGCATAAAGCTGAGGGCCAAATACTTGTGAATGGAATTAGAAATAGATACTATTTTCTAACTGACCTGCTCCGAAATCTCAAAGTGAAATAGGTAAGGGACAGAAAGATTGTGAGAGAAAGGGCAAAGCAAGAGGAAAAAAAAAAATCATCTTGTGTTTTGAACAATCTCTCAGAACAATTTAGCAACCAAAGGAGTGAAGCTCCACAATTAATTGTTTGGGATTCTAGGGGAGCAGCAGTTTGGCATTTTATGAAGCTTTCACCCCAATAAAAAGTGATATGTATTGATTGCCAGATACAATTTACTGTGACAAATTTAATGAGTAATTAATGTGCAAATCCAGCAAGTTGTTAAAAATAATGGCTAAGGGCAAGATTCCCTTTTGTGCGTCAATAACAGCATGCCTCACTAAGATGCTGTTGTTATTTGAGCAAGATCTGGTCCAATCAGTTTGAAATTGTGCTAAAGATAGAAATTTATTTTGGATCTAGTTACCCAAATTACCTTTTGTAATTAGGAATGAAATGTCATTTTTAATTGATAGATATGTCAGAAAACCTGTCATCACTAGGTTATGTCTTAACTGGGGTCACGTTCCTTCATTTAGTTGAAGTTCCATTGTTCATTGATTCATTACACAAGGTGGCATTTCATTCTGTGAACTTCTGACTATTGAGTCAGTAGTATTTTTTATTTTGTAGGAATCCTGGTGAGATTGTATTTGCTGTTATTCCTTGTTGCTGTTAGAAGGTTCTTTGGTTCTTCTATGATGGTGTTGAGTAGGAAATTTTGTCCCAGCGTTGTAAAGCCTTGTGTCTGAATCAAGATGATTTGTGATTTGGAGCAGAATTTGCTGATAATAATATTCTGATGTTGCTAATCTTTCTTTTGACGCTAGAGACTGTGTGACAATCTTTCAAGCAGCCTTGGTGAGTTGCTGTACTGTATTCCATCTAAGCACCTTGTACATCACAACCATTGTGTACCAGTAAGGAGGGAAGTCTATATTGAGCCCAGAAGTAGGGATGCAAATCAAACCTATTTTGGTGCTGATCTGCAGTTTTGCTGAACCTGTACCTATTAAAGGGGATGATGAGTATACCACATTTCTTTCCTGAACCGTTGTAGACAAGATGTTTTGAATGGACAAAAGATGAGTTACTCATTATATATCCCAGGCTCTGTCCTGCTTTGCTAGTCAGCTTTGTGATGACTAGATCACTTAAACATCTTGTTAGTGGTGCTCACCTTATGATATTGCAAGTGAAGAATTCTTATGATTTGGGCTTTTCTTTTTTGGGAAGTGATCATTGCACAATATTTTTGAAAACACAGCCTTCTAATTTTCAATAAGATATTTTCCCCATTTTAATTTATTGCTGTAAATTCAAGCCCAACTTGCAATCCAAGTACATCGTTCTATTTCAGCAGAAAGCTTTAAATCAACCCATTTGTTTCTGAAAGTTTTCCTTTTTTGAAAAGAAAAAGCAAAAGCTTACATTTACTTCGTGATTTTCGGTTTCAGGTCCCAAAGCACTTCACATTGAATTGTTTCTCCTTGTAGCTTAAATATTACATGAGCAAATGAAGCAGGCACCTTTTGGCCACTTTTTCAACCTAGCCTCTGAAAATAAATGTTATTCGAGCTGATTGGTTCTATAAAGTTTGAAAAACAATAACATTTTTATTTGTATTTGTATGGTCAAACAGGTTTCAAGGTTGTGCAAAAGGATTGAGAAATGTTGCTTTTGAGTTGTAGTCATTATATTGTTGAGAATCCTAGTTGCAGACATTAACACAGGAAGCGCTGTGCTGAATAATGTGTTGCGTAATAAATAAAATCTCAAATTGAAGTATAGAATGTATTTTGTTAAACAAGGAACTTTTTAAAATCATATTTTGCTTCAAGCTATAGTCCAGTTAGAAAACCAATTTACAGGACACATGCAGAATGAATGTGTACAGTAATTGTGAGTCATCTTTTAGATGGCCTGTTACGACAACCTTTTGTTCATAAGTATGCATGCCACGTGGCAGACTGGATACATGAAATTTTAGATGCACAAATAGGATAATGAAAATTGAATGGCACACTTCCACTTTCCTGGATGTGCCTTGTGTGCCTCATTAGTTTTATTAGTTGCACTTTAGAAATGCTGACCTGTAGCATTTTTCCGAATCAAGTTGGAAAATGCAATTATTTTAAGCTCTTTTGATGGCTTGTTAAGCCACTCAGGTTAAGATTGGTGTATTTACATTTCAAATACTTTACCTCCAAAAGGTTTTCTAAAGTAAAGTAACTGAGCTGCAGTTACCAATCAAAAAATGCCATTCCATGCACAGTATGCATTATAGCTAAGTGGTTTATGATACCAAGATTAGGTGCTTTGTAAACATCATTACTCATACATCATGTAATTTAGTGCTGCATGATTTTCTTCAGTCAAAATTTTAAGTTTGTTCCTAAATTAGATAATTAGTTCCCAAGTGGATTGTTCCTACAACAGTGACAGCTAATCCTTACAAACCAGGAGTTAGTGAGTTTGTGTTTTTTGTTTGGTCTATTGAGGGTTCTAATTGTAACTGAAGTGGTAGCTGGGAGCGATTTATGGTTGAGCTTAGATACCCCACATTTAGCAAAGGGTAAAATTACTGATGGTTCCTATTTCTAATTATGACCCAATGACTAAGTCCCCACCCCACCACCAACCCTCTTGCAGAGGAGTTTGAGTGAGGGCAAACTGGGATTTGTACATTCTTCAGCGGATTACATGCAAACAGTGGCCACATGGGCAACATATGAAGGTTAATTGGTGTCTGTGGAATTGTATTTCTTAGATAAGAATACTAGAAGAAGCAATTTGTCAAAGCAATGCAGTGGGATGTCAGTTCAAAATATCTCTTTTATGTGTTTATATCAGGCTGTGCAACAAGTCTCCACACATTGTTTCCCTGTGTACAAAATTCTGTATAAATTAACATCTGCCTGTGGAACTGTTTAGAAGCTGTCTGAATTTAACTGTGTATACCAGGAATGCTCCTGCCTATTTGTTTATAACTTTGCATTCCACTAGGCAAGTTTGTTTGTTTTTTTTGATATCTAAGATTGACTATCTAGGTATGATTTTCTTTTTTTTTGTTATCTATAGATTGCTTCTTCAAAAGGATTATGATTTCCTCAAAGACATTAATGTCTGGCATCCCTTTGTCATAATTGGAGTCTACTCTTCAACTTTATCAGCTGCGATGAGCAATCTGATTGGAGCTTCTAGAATTCTCTATGCACTTGCAAAGGATGATATATTTGGCAAGTTATTTTCTTTCCTCTTTTTAATCAAACGTTTACTGAAGTAAAATTTGGAGCAAATAGATTATATTGCATTGCATGGAATTGTATTGCGGGACTTTGTCTCTTTGTAAATAACTTGTTGAAGCTCTGTTAAAAAGCAATTTTTTTGTTTGAAAAAACATACATTTTCAAAGGCTGGACATTTCTTCATCATTTTCATAGATTCCCTACAGTGTGGAAACAGGCCCTTCGGCCCAACAAGTCCACACTGACCCCCAGAGCATCCCACCTAGACCCACCCCCCTATAACTTACACATCCCTGAACACTCTGGGCAATTTAGCATGGTCAATCCACCTAGCCTGCACATCTTTGGACTCTGGGAGGAAACCGGAGCACCCGGAGGAAACCCATGCAGACACTGGGAGAATGTGCAAACTCCACACAGACAGTGACGCAAGGTTGGAATCGAACCCAGGTTCCTGGTGCTGTGAGGCAGCAATGCTAACCACTGAACCATCGTGCCGCCCTATTGAATTTTCTTTTAAGTGTCCATGTGAAAAATGACAGGAGGGTATCAATATGCTCGCAGAATTGTCAGAGGTAGGAAATGTTGTTTGTTGTAGAAAAAAAAGTGTAGTGCATTTTGAAATTAAGAATGAGGGAAGCATCGTGCATTAAATATTTCAGATTTTTTTTACCAGCAAACATGAATAAGTATTTATTTATTTATGTAAGTATTTATTTATAAAGATGGTATGAAGGACAAAGGATTACACTAATGGAAAGACACATCAGAAATATGGGCATTTTCGAAAAACAAATGTTAAGAGTTCAAAAGGCAAATTGATGATCTTCAGGAATAGTTGAATGGAGATTAATTATTTCCTCTCGTCAACAAGATTGTAGCAAATGACAAATTTAAGATAGTCACAGAATTAAAAAGCAAGTTTAAAAAGACATCCTCAGTGATCTGCGTTGGAATTCTATGCCACAAGCCATTGTTAAAGCAGCACCCATAAATGATTTTAAGAGGAAATTAGATTGTTGTATGATAAAGGGAAATAATAAGAATATGCAGATTAAGCAGGAAAGTTGCATTTGACTAGCTGACCCATCTGGAGAAGTAGAACAGCACAGAGCAGACTCTAATGTTATTTAGTATTTAAAATGGAAGCAGATAAAATTAAACCTGTTAGAACTTCCAAAAAATGAAAGATTTGAGCTACAAACCAGTATGAAAAGATTTGATGGCACAAAACTTGAGCAAGAATCCGTTCAAGAAATTGAGGTGCGAAGAGGCAGAGAGAAAGGGATGACCTTTAACACTTTAAAGTGGATAGATTAGAGAAATGTTCAACACATTTTAAAAGGACATGCGTGGCAGGCAGTCAATCCACTCTTGGGAGCGAATAATTATCTCACCAGATGGATAACATTGGACTTGACCTGCTTTATTCCCCAGTCTTGTTTTCCAAATCTGGAACTCCAGAAGAAAGGTAGGGAGGTGGAAAGTCTATTGACACTACTGTTCATAGGTCAAGAGCAGCAGGCATATTTTCCTGCTGGACCATGTCCCCCACCCTGGATTTGGTGTTGGGGATCAACACACAGACTTGTTTCCAGTAACAGTTATGGCTTCCTAACTTGCCCCTTGGCATGTTCTGGAGTCCTCCACACCTGAATTGTGGGCAGGAAACCCTGCCAAAGAGAGAGTCTCTCACTGGAGTTGATATGAAAGGGAACCATCCTTCCTTTGTGAAATTCTGCACCCAGCATTTACTCAGTTATCCTACTGAGGCTCACATGAAAGAATTTGCAATATTAAAAGGGTAAAATATTTTTCTTTCCTTAAATTGCACCCCCCACCCTTCCCACCACCTTTCTCTGAAGGTGATTTTATTTACTACAAAATGATTTTGCCAGGCATCCGCCTGTCATTCCTGTAGGAACACGAATGGTGAGATAATTGATCAGTTGGTGAGAGGGCAAACATACCCAAGTCTTGACCCAATATTCCCAATTTGTGCCCTTGAGTCTGAGTATAATGCTTGCTGCAATCCTTTTCTTAAAAGGGGAACCATACAAACGTGGAATAGTGTGTGCAGCAGCGTGAAGATGTTTAATGCTAATCAGTCTGCAATTGCAGAGCTATGGCAGATGGAATTTAAGCTTGATAAGAGTGAGGTGATGTGTTTTGGGAGGTCTAATAAGGTAAAGATTTACACAATGAACATTAGGGCTCTAGGGAGTACTGAGAAATGAAGGGACCTTGGTGTACAAGTCCATAGATGCCTAAAGATTTCAACATGGATAGACAGGATGGTGAAGAAGCATACGGGATGCTCGCCTTCATTAGTAGGGCATAGAATGTATGAGCAGGGAAGTTTTGTTACAACTTTAGAGTATTGATTATGCCACAGATAAAATACTCTGTGTATTTCGGTTTGCCAAAGAGTGAAAGGACGTGATTGCACTGGAGAGGTTGCAGAGGAGATTCGTCAGGATGGGATGGAAAGCCTTGGTTATGAGGAGAGACTGGATATGCTGGGTTTATTTTCCCTGGAACTGAGGGGAGTGGTGTTCTGATTGAGGCATGCAAAATCAAGAAATGGATTGTGAGAATCTTTTACCCATTGCAAAAGTGTCTAAGACCAGACAGCATAAGTTTAAGGTGAGGAATAGGTAGTTTAGAAGGGATCTGAGGAAATATTTCTTCACCCAGAGGGTGGTAGAAATATGGAAAATGCTGTCTGAGAGGGTGGTGGAGGTAGATACTCTCAACAGTTTAAGAAATATCTGGACAAGGACTTAAGTGCCAGGGCATAGTTGATTATGGACCAAGTGCAGGTGAACGGGATTGATATAGTTTCCACAGAAGGGTCACTGGTTTTATCTCCTGATGGATTAAGAATTATCTTGTTAGTGTGATGTAAGAATATGCAAAAGACAAGGCAGGCATGTTTCCATGAAATCTGTGGAATTTGTTTATTGGATACCATGAACATTGTTATAGTTTGAAGTTTGTTGGTCAGCGTAGCCATGGTGAACTGAAGGGCCTATTTCTTCGCTGTATGACTCTAATTTTCTCCAATTCTTATCAGTTAGCTTCCTGGAGGGTGCAGTTATTAGGAAGACAGGATTTTTTAAAGTTGTCTGATAGATAAATCCTACAGATTTTATGTGAATATGCGTGCCTTGTCTTTTGCATATTCTTACTTGAATCTGACGAGATAATCCTTAACCCGTCAGGAGATAATAAAAGCAAAATTCTGCAGATGCTAGAGATCTGAAATAAAAATAAAGTACTGGAAAAACTCAACAGGTCTGGCAAGATACGTGAAGAGGGGAAAACTACTTAACATTTTGAATTGCTCAGACCTTGAGGATAGTAGTTGGAACATCATGTTGAGGTTGCACAGGATGTTAGTGTGTCCAGTTCTGGTCGCCCTGTTATAGGAAGGATATTATTAAGCTTGGGAGGGTTCAGAAAAGATTTACCAGGGTGTGGCTGGGAATGGAAGGTTTGAATTATAATGAGTCTGAATAGCCTGGGACTTTCTTCACTGCAGTTTAGGAAATTGAGCGGTGACCTTAAAAACATTCATAAAAGCGTGAGGGGTATAGATGAAGTGAATGGCCTTTTCCCTCAGGCAGGGATTTCAAGACCATGGGGCATATTTTTAAGGTGTGAGGAAAAAGATTTTTAAAAAAGACACAAGGGGCTAATTTTTACACAGGGTGGTTCATGTGCGGAATGAACCTCCAGAGGAAGCAGTGAATGCGGGTACAGTTACAACATTTAAAAGACATTTAGATAAGTACATGAATAAGAAATGTTTTGTGGGATACGGGCCAAGTGGAGGCAAGCGGGACTAGTTTAGTTTGGGATTATGGTCGGCATGAACTGTTAAGACTGAAGGGTCTGTTTCCATGCTGTATGACTCCATGACTCTAATTCAATTGACTCAAAACATTGATTCCGTTTTTCTCTCCACAGATAATACCAGACCTCCTGAATTCATCCAGTGTTTTGTTTTTATATAGGGAGGTATCTGTAAGGTCCTGGGGCAGCACGGATTAGCACTGTTGCTTCACAGTGCCAGGGACCTAAGTTCAATTCCAGCCTTGGATGACTGTCTGCCTGTGTGAAGTTTGCACATTCTCCCCACGTCAGTGTTGATCCCTGCTGGGTGCTCTGGTTTCCTGCCACAGTCCAAAAATGTGCAGATTAGGTGGATTGGCCATGCTAAATTGCCCTGTGACATCCATGAGTTCACTGAGACAGGATAGGGAGGCTGGATCTGGATGGGATGCTCTTTGGAAGGTCAGTGCAGGCTTGATGGGCTAAATGGCCTCTTTTCCACACTGTAGGGATTGTATGACACTTACAACAGAAAGGTTAAATTTTTCATGTCATTTCTAATCCACTTTCCAATTAATTTTCAGCTTTTTTGGTTGCTTGTATGCGCAGCTAAATGTTAATCCTATTTGGAATCTCTGAATGCATCTTAATCCTGGAACTACTGTGCGCTCTATTTGAAACATGCCTTCGTTCGTGCAGATTCTAATGCCCCACCCAGCCAACGTCAGTGTGCCAAAACAAAACATTTCACAAAATAGTGAACAAATAATTGGACAAACCCAGCTTTGCCATGTGATTTTTGTAACCTCCCCTCGCCATTGTCTGCCTACATAATTATTTGTGATCCCGGAGATTTTCACAGCTTTCTCTTTCTTGGAATTACTTTCAACTCTGTTTGAACAGTTCAAGTTATTTGTTTCAGTCAGACTACGGCTGTAGTTACTTTGGACACTGTCTCTGTAAGTTGGCAACGTTAGAAAAATAACAGCTGCATCTTCATTATCCTGTTCCCAGTAAAATTGTTCACTGGTCATTAAATTTTTTTTCAACAAGAAATGCATTTTTACAGATTGAAAAGCATTTATAAATTGCCTGTGACTTTTCCTAGTATTTGAAATGAATATGGTCAGCTCTAAATTGTGTCTAAATCACACAGGAGGGCGAGGCAATAATAACTGTTCAATCATCTCCATTATTATATGCAAAATATATACTAAGAATGGTGGTAAAGTGGATCAAGCATAAAACCTTTTACAGGACACAGGTATTATTAAAGTTTAAATCATTTAGAGAGGTGCAAAGGATGAAAATTCTGAGAGAAACGTCAACAAGGAACGTGGATTTTTTGGCTTGCATTAAATAAAGGTTTCATTTTGGACATTACATGCAATGACATTATTACTTTCTTCAGCATCTGGAGGAGATTCTGAACCAGCTGTGATTACTTTTGGTTCTAATTCCAGTCACAACAATGATTATTTGCACTGTAACCTTATTTCTGAATACTGTTCATTAGCTTTTAGCTTCACATTGACTGTTTCCTCTTGCAGTTAGTGGTTTAATTACTGATAATAAATAACCATGAAGCTTTCAAAAATGCTTTTAACATTTACAGTAAAGTTTCTAAATTGGAGGGCAAAAAAATATTGTGAAAATGACTTTGCCAAATTAATCCTGTAAAAGCTATTTCTGGAACTTTTTTTGTGAAATTTGATGCACTTTATTTTAACCCATTTTTAACCCGGTGTATTTTCAAAAATCTGCATTTATTGAACTGAATGGAATCCTGAAAAGTAATGGCCTTTCAGTATATATCTCTGGATGAACAGAAACCATCTTCAATCTAGATTATGGCTGTTTATAAATGTGTCTAAGAGAAATATCTGTATTCATCACAGTATAATCTGAACCCCTCTCCTGAACTAAGCCTCAATTTGTTATAGTTGTTTGTCTGCATATATTGATATATTTTGCTGCAACTCCTATTGTAGTAGAGGCTTTAACTCACTTTATTTAACAAAACTGAAAATAAAATGTTGGAAGAATGTATTCTTAGACTAACAATCCTTGATGTGATTAGAGCATCCTTGTCTCTATTAATATTTTGATATTGTGTATTTAATACTAGCATTCACAAAGCAAACTGCAGTTATGGAATCGGTTCTATTTACTCATCTTGAGGATGTGATCAGCCATTTAGTGGGATCATGAACTGTGATGTACTCATCTATCACATGTTTTGTCATTTATTCTTTAAAATTCTTTGCTTAAACACTGACCTACAAAGATATTTAAGTGAATGAAGTATTGGTAGTCCTAATTTGATTACTCTACTGACTAGATTTTTAAAATTTTCAATAATTTAGGAAAGCTTCTCATGCCTGCAAAGAAAACTTCACGTGGTGGAAATCCTTGGGCTGCTGTGTTGATTTCATGGCTGTTAGTACAGGTACGTTTATTTGTTGGTTTCTGAGTCATTTAAATTGATTTTTTAAAAAATTGACAGATTTTGGAACAGTTCTGTTATTCTTCATCAGAATATGAGATAATTCAAAATGCTGTGTAGCTATATGTTGTTTTACCATATAATCAGAAATAAATTCATATTTTGCTGATCATAGACAGTTTTGGATAAAAAATACCAGTGTAATTTTGATCAAGTCGTTTTACCTCCAGGGCCACCTAAAACATTGGATCAAGCAACTTTACTAAATCTAGTGGAAAGAAACTAAAACTTTTCAGACCAGTGCTACCTCATTCGTAAAACATTATTTTTGTGGCCATTTGTAGCATTTTGAGCAACACAGATGAACTAGTCTGAAAACTTGGTATTATGGAACACCAACTTGTACACTCAAAGTGCCAAAGTTTTTAAAAGCATTTAAACACGTAGAAAATATTAGCAGGAGTAAACCATTTGTCCTTTTGAGCCTGTGCTGTCTTTCAATATGGTGGTGACTGATCATTGAGCTCAGTACTCCATTCCCCCTTTTCCCCTGTACTTTTGACCCCTCTATACCTAAGAACTACATCTGTCTCCCTCTTGAAATCATTCAATGTTTTGGCCTCAACTGTATTCTGTGGCAGAGAATTCCACAGCTTACCACTCTGTGTGAAGACACTTCTCCTCATCTCAGTCCTAAATGGCCTGAGCTGAATTTTTAGACTGTGACCCCTGGTTCTGGACTCCCCCAGTCATCAGGAACATCCTTCCTATGTTTACCCTGTCTATCCCTGTTAGAATTTTAAAGGTTTCTGAGACTCCTCACCCCCCACCTTCAATTCTTCAATATGGCAGCTGATACACCTTCAAACCTCAACCCACACCAACATCCCAATCCTACCACCCAGTGGGCAAGCACAAGTCCTCTATCCTGCAATCTGATGTTTTTCAATCAAGACATCAGCAGTGTAGGAGACAAATGTACATTGAATAGCCTCATGGAGGGCCATCGCTTAATTCTTTCTACTTAGTTAGGATCAAATCATGAAGATCTAAACAAATCAACTCTATCTTTATGTATGACAGAACTGTTATGGTGCTTAGGAGACCATTGAACACATTATGTAAGTGCAGTTTGTGTAATGCCATGAGTCAAAAATAGTCAAAGTGGATATTTTCTAATCCCCCTGTTCAGAGGTGTGATGTTACACCTCTGGAGCAAGTGAGACTGGAACCCGTGCCTCCTAGCCCAGAGGTAGGGATGCTACCACTGCACGACAAACCCACTAAAAATAGAAATTGTATGCTTTCTCCGTTCAAAGATGCTCGTCTTTTCCTTATAAATAACTAGAAAAGTAATTGAAATAAATAGTTAAAATCAATTTTGTGAGCAAGTAAAGATTATAGTACTTCAATATTGATGGAAGTTTAATATTGCCAAAAATCAATAGAATGCATGGTGAAGTTAGATAGCAGAGAGTTTATGAAGTAATTAGCTCTACGAGAGTTGTGTTGGGTCAAGGATCTAAATGACATTGCTCCTTTAGTGATCTGTGGTGAAAGACAAATCCCATGTATTGAATGATTAAAATACATTCGTTGGTCATTTTAGTTCTGATGGCAACAATAATTATCAAAGCGAGCAAGTTAACATTAATAACATTGCAGGTCATTACTGAAACAAATTTTACATTTTATTGAAGGTTAATTGTGTTGGCAGGATGAAGGCACAGATTGCAAACCAGCATACACGATACTAAAAACAGTAACATTAGATTTAATGCACTTTATTTATCAAGAACCTTAAGAGCATTCAGTATAGATTCTCTAAAACAATATTAAGAAGTGTAAACAATAATTATGATGTAGGAATTGAGATACTGTGAATCTTTCCACTAGAGCAAAAAAAATAACCAGCTATTAAAGTTTTTTAATAGGGAAAAATAGTTTATCTGGAATTTGGTTATGTGGAATCATCAATTTAAAATTATCGCTAAGCATAAGATTGAGAGAAATCTACTTGGAGTATTATGGAGCATGGAATTCATTGTCAGAATGGCTGGAGCAGCAATCATTGCTGTTTTACAGGAAATATGAACCAACAGAGCCAGTGAGAGAGAACAGTTCAGTGGGATTAATTTTGAATTTCTATAGCAAAGAGCCAGCACGGACATAATGACTTGATTGCTGTCTTCCTGTGATATAAAATTCTTGTGGTTTAATCACGCTGCATGTTAAAGGCTGAATGTAACTATGGATGTTCAAAACCAAAAGTCAATAGATTTTTAGGCAGTAAGCGGATGGAGAAATAAGGGATGATGAGGAATGTGTAGGTGAGTTAGATAATCAACCATCATCTTACTGATTTGCCAGAGCAAATCTCAAAGGGCTGAATAGCCTACCATTGCTCCTTTTTATATTTTTAAACAAGTTAAGCATGGTAGTTTAGTAATTGTTCTTCTACTCAAATCACAATACTGAAGATAAAATTTGGCTGCATTCAGTAATCCTGTTCTTGGCCTAAATGAATGCACATGTTGGAAGGGCTAATATTTGAGAACTATACATGATTGCAACTAGATCTCCTTGAAAATAAGACCCCAAGTCTACTTCTCAATTTCTCTCTGTTATCCATGTATTAATTCTCAAACCAGAGGATACTGTAATGGAATTTAATGATTCACCTCCATATTCTCAGACTAACGCATGCACGTTATTTTTTGCGGTTTGCCGTTATACTTATGGAGCACTATGTCATTTGTGGTCCTTCAGAATCTAGATGTAAATGTATTACAGCAAAATAAATGTCAAAGGTTTTAAAATCAGAGGGTACAATAATTTTGCCGTGTATTTCAGTCTACATTGTGCACTTGGAAGATTGAAATGAACTGAAATATTCTCTTGCTTAAATGGTAGAACAAAAAGCACTAGAAGGAATTGCTCTTCACAGTAGTGAATTGGCAATCATTTTCAGAACCTAATAAGTTGTTCTAAGCCACCTGAGATTTGAAAGCCTCATGTCACTCATTTGTTCCTGTGTCTGCAAGGAAATGCATTGAATGATAAATGTGGAAGCTGACATGCAGAAAAAATTGTGGTCTAGCCAAGTAAAGATAACCATTCCAAATGTTACCGTGGGGGTCTGGTGTAATTTCATTATGTTGGACTAATGATTAATGTGTCTGGTAATATTAATTTGTCTCTCTTTTGACATCTCCTTGCTGTCCTCCTGGTTTAACTATATCATGACTGGACAATTGTTTTCTTTCTTGAAAATACTTAGTGGCTCAGGCTGCAATGGTTATTTGTAGACATTATAAGGATGTGATTGGAGCTTTCTTGGCTAGCTGCCCATTATTGCAGTCAAATAGATAATTATTTATTTTAGCATCCTGGTCACCCGCAGACCATAAGTTCATATGGAACTTAATTCAGACACTTTTTTGTTTTCGCTTGTTTCTTGAAAGCTTGAAAAGATCATGAATGCTCAAGGGGTCAATATGACCTTTAGCAAAATTGTCTTTCTCGATGTTGTGCACATTTCAGGTTAAAATTCATTAATTTGATTTTGCTGCCATTTGTGATCATTTGCATTTGTCAGTATAGTAAAAGCAAAAATTGCAGAATTAAAATCCAAGTGCTGGAGAAACTCCACGTTTGTGGAAAGGGAAACAATTGATGTTTCAAGTCTTACATAACCCTTCTTTGGAACTGAAGGGAGATGGAAATGTGATGTTTTGTGGGGGGATTAAATCCCAAAGGTGCCATGGAACAAAAGGCAAAGGGAGTGGTAAAGAAACAAAGCATTGATCTACAGTAAGTTTGAATAGTAGAATAAAGGTCAGCTCTGTCTAGAAAATAAAGGCATGAGAAAAACCACTACCACCTAGAAGGGTGGGAGCAGTGGAGTCTTTAAGTTTCCTTCCATGCCATTTACCATCCTGGCTTGAAAATTTAATACCCTTCTGGATCCATCCATATCCTCTTCATCCTCTGGTACCTCTACATGGTCTTAGTGTATTGTGCACTTGTGAAGGATCTCAGTTCCTCTGCTTTGACATCAGTAATTAGTGAAAAATCCAAATGACATCATCCCCTTGAGGCTTGTTGCCCTTCCTTATGCATTTTTCTAGTAATGGGTAAAAATGTTGAAGGTAAATCCACACATCATAAAACACATTTGCAGGAAAAGGATTGGTCATGTAATTTCACTTAAAGTTACTTCTCAGAATCGAGATGATAGGAGGGAAGTTGGATGGGTTGGAAAACTTTAAAACTGTAGCTAGAACAATTCAAATAAATTGCAGTATTTGGAACGAAGGCTTCTGGAGGTGTAAGAACATGTTAATATTCTCAGTTCCCACATTCAAGTTTTAGTCTTCCTTCAAGTAAAAGTCCAGTAAAGATTTGAATTATGTTTTGCTAGGATTTATTTTTAAACTCAAACTTGTACCACTTTCCCAGTTTTAGAAAATTTTAAATCTTCACTTACTGAGGCAAAAACTAGAATTGTCTAGATTAGAATCTCTTTTTATTGCAAGTGTGCAACCATAACTGGACGTACAAGAAAATCGACACAAGATTAAGCTCACATTTGTCTATGTTTCTGCGAGGCGAGAATGCTATTCTATCCGATTCTTCACTGAGTCACAGTTTTAATAAATCAGAGCCCCTACAGATTAATAATTCAGTGTGGTTACATCTAAAATTGCTTTGTGATACAAGCTTTTAAGCTCGAGGTGATAAGTGTATCTTTCCTTAGTAATTTGTACTGTAAATGTCAGATGCATTCCTGCAGGTGGAGAGTTAGATACTTTCCCAAGCAATGTGTGTGCTTAATGGCTGCCAATTTTTTTTGCACAAAAATCCACTTGCAGCAGAGGTTATGACCAAAAGACTACAAAAGCTGGCAGTACACTAAGCACAATTGAATTGATCCTAACATCCTCCTTTCATTGTTTTTTAAAAAAAAGGCATGCACTGCCAAGTGTAATTACAAGTTCCTC